AAAAAAAAAAAAAAAAAAAAAAGTTATTTCAAAATAAAATAATTGAAAATTTTGTGGCAATATTGATACGTCTCTCTAATATGACTACTATTCTCCCCTTTGACTATCTTATAGGTTATGATTAATCGATTAATCATTGTGCGTGTAAGCAATTCACTAATCATATCTTTTAACCCCATTTTTTTGGTGCAAATTATAGTCTGCCCAGTTTTTCAGTTAGTGTGGGATCAGCTCCCCATTTTTCAACCAAGTCCAAGCAGAACTTAATAGAAGTAAAAAATACAATTAAGGCCATGTTTGAGCCACATTTTTATACAGTGATTCAAGGGGCGTTTGTTTCTAATTTTTGTAAAAATGAAATAGAAAAATATAATCGTTATGGACTCCATACAAGAGATAGAAATTCAAATTTGGTGACTTGATGTGATGAATAATGATCATATTTTTTATTTTAATGGAAAAGAATGAGAAACAAAAAAGGGTTTAATATCATTTCAACTACACATTTTTCAATAAAATAATATTACATGTAAATTCAAAACTTTTCCTTATTTTTTAACCACGCATTCTCTATCAATCTACTATTCCAAAATATATTCTTTCAAAATAATGTAGTTCAAACACACTAAGTTTTCAAGCTTGCTATGGGTACAGTTGCTTTGACAGCAACTATTGTAGGAATTGGTTCAAATATTAAATGAAAAGGTGTGTACAAAATGGAAAATAAAAAGGTGTGACTACGTGTCAATTTCGACTAAATATTCGGACTTGATCCGATGGTCAAATTACAAAAGTAAATAGACTAACTTATTTTACTCGTCGAATAGATCGTCGTGATATATTTGAAATCTCGAAATCAATTCTGGATGAATGAGAAATTGCGGATCAAAATTGGAAGAAATGAAGTGTTGCAATTTTTTGAAAGGATGTATGTTTTGGCCCACACTACTTCATTTGCACCATTTCTATATCTATAAATAAAACCCTATGAACATGATTTTGGGTACATCAATTGCATTGAGCATTCATTCTTTTCTTGCAATTCTCTTCTTTCTAATTTTATAGCATTTCATACATTTCCTTTGTAGAGGGGAAATTCTGTCAAAAGTTCATCGGTTTCTTGTGGTTTGAAGTGCTGCTACCACAAGTTGTGAATCCATTGTATCTTGGGAGACAAGTGTCATTCACCGTGAGCACCGTAGCAGGGCAATTTGTCTTAAGGAAAGAGATAACGTCTCACCTTGAATTATTCTCTATTTCTACTCCTTCTTAATTCTTGTTTTGCATAATCTTTATACCGAAACTCTGTCCAAATTTTCATTAATATAAATTGTGTTTTGATCACGTTTTTGTAGGTTAAAACTAGTCAAACAAATAATCAAAAATCAACCCTTACATAACCCTTTTTATAAGTTGTCTCCAACAATTTTAAGACAAATTTGTGTGTCTTTATGGTTGATTGTGGACAAATATTACTTTGTTTGAATAGTGCTTTGTGTACTATCTCCATCGATATTATCATCATTTTGTTGAATTTCTGTTTGTGTAACAGAATTGACTACCATCAGGACTTCGTCAAGTCAAAATGGTTACAATAATGTGGTACCACCCGTGGCCATACCGTTGGATAATACTACTATCCCACATGGGGAAAAGTCGAAAAAATTTACAGGAGTAGACTTCAAGAGGTGACAACAAAAGATGTTGTTTTATCTCACCACTCTTAATTTGGTTAAATTTCTAAAGGAAACTGCATCGGCTGTACAAGAAGGAGAACATAATCATGAATCGATTATTGCTTTGGATGCATGGAAACACTCAGACTTCCTATGCAAGAACTATATTCTAAACGCATTGGATAATACACTATATGAAGTGTATAGTTCAAAGGAATCAGCCAAGGAATTGTGGGATTCTTTGGAGACAAAGTTCAAGACCTAGGATGCCGAAACAAAGAAGTTCATTGTTGGCAAATTTTTGGACTACAAGATGGTGGATTCGAAAACCGTAATTAATCAATTGCAAGATGTTCAGGTCTTGTTACACGACATCCACGCCGAGAAAATGGAATTGAGTGAAGCATTCCAATTGGCTGCCATTATTGAGAAACTCCCTCCTATGTAGAGATTTCAAAATTACCTCAAGCACAAATGCAAGAAAATGAATTTGGAAGAATTGATTGTACGCTTGAGGATTGAAGAGGGCAATCAAAAAACCGAACGGAGGCTGGTTGATCAAGATGGTGCAAATTTTGTTGAAATGGAACCAAAGGCAACAAACAAGAAACGAAAGGCTCCTAATTATGCACCGCGAAGAGACAATTCCACGAAGGTTAAGAAGTTCAAAGGGAATTGTTACAACTGTGGCAAGGCTGGACATCATTCAAGTGAATGTCGAAAGTTAAAGAAGAATGTTCAAGTCCACATGATTGCAAATAACACTCTATCTGATGGACTACGAGAAGTGAGTTTATCTGCAGTAGTGTCTGAATGCAACATGATTGGAAATACTAGAGAATAGTGAATTGACACCGGCGCTACCCGCCATATGTGTGCGGACAAGGGGATGTTCTCCAACTATCAAGAATTGAATGGGGAACAACTATACATAGGAAATTCTGCAAGTCCCAAAGTTGAAGGACAAGGCAAAGTCACTTTGAAGATGACATCCGGGAAAGAACTCGTCCTCAACAACATCCTGCATGTGCCGGATATAAGAAAGAATTTAGTTTCCGGGTCTCTAGTTAGCAAGAATGGTTTTAAACTTGTATTTGTATTTGATAAGTTTGTGCTGTCTAAAAATGAGATGTATGTAGGGAAATGATACATGTGTGATGGAATGTTCAAGTTGAACATTCTTACAATTGTACCGAAGCAAGTCGTTATGAATAAAACTATAAATTATGTTTACTTGCTTGAACCTTCATGTTTGTGGCATAGTTGATTAGGACATGTGAATTACAAATCGTTGCGCAAACTAATAAATCAAAGTTTAATTCCGGTGCATAAAATCAATCCTAATCATAAATGTGAAATATGTGTTGAAGCAAAATTGGCTAAAACACCGTTCCATTCAATACAAAGGAACACAACCCCTCTTAAATTGATCCATAGCGATATATGCGATCTAAAATTTGTACAAACTCAAGGTAGTAAGAAATACTTTGTGACATTTATTTATGATTGTACAAAGTATTGCTATGTCTTTCTTTTGAGAAGTAAAGACGATGCCTTAGATGCATTCAAAACCTATAAGGCTGAAGTTGAAACACAACTTGAAAAACGAATAAAAAATATTCGTAGTGATAGAGGAGGTGAATATAGAGCACCGTTTGAAGACTGTTGTTCTGAACATAGAATTGTTCATCAAACAACGGCACATTACTGTCCTCAATCAAATGGTGTTACAGAATGCAAAAATCGAACACTTAAAGAAATGTTGAATGCCATGTTAATAAGTTCGGGTTTACCACAGAACATGTGGGGGGAGGCTATTTTAACGGCAAATAGTCTTCTTAATAAAATACCTCTTAAGAAAATGGAAGAGACACTATATGAACTATGGAAAGGCTATCATCTATCCTACCAATACTTGAAAGTGTGGGTGTGTTTGGCTAAAGTTGAGGTATCTAAGCCTAAACAAGTAAAAATCGTTCCTAAAACAATAGATTGCATATTTATTGGATACGCCAATAATAGTAGTGCATATCAATTTCTTGTACACAAATCCGAAATACAAGACTTATACGAAGGGACCATAATTGAATCAAGGAATGTGACATTATTTGAAAACACTTTTCCTTGCAAAAATAAGGAAAATACGAGTTCTAACAAGAGAACATATGAAACTACCAATGGAATTTCAAATGAGGAAGAATTAAGGCGTAGTAAAAGGGCTAGGACTTCTAAGACATTTGGCCCAAATTTTCTAACCTATATGGTAGAGGATGATTCAAAGACTTTTGATGAAGCAATGTCTATACCGGAAGCACCGCATTGGAAAGAAGCTATTAATAATGAGATAGATTATATAATGCAAAACCATACATGAGAGTTGGTTGATTTACCTCCGGGTAACAAGCCTTTAGAATGCAAATGGATATTCAAAAAGAAATTGAAAACTGACGGATCCATTGATAAATATAAGACTAGATTGGTTGCTAAAGGATATAGGCAAAAGGAAGGACTTGATTTCTTTGATACCTACTCACCCGTGACTAAAATCATGTCGATAAGGTTGTTAATTGCAATTGCGGTAATACACAACCTTGAGATTCATCAAATGGATGTAAAAACAGCATTCCTAAACGGTGAGTTAGAAGAGGAA